TTGAAAAATATTGTGCAAGTACTAAAAATGCCCTTGCAATTTTGCAGTGTTAAGAAACGTTTAGCATTAGCTCCGCAGCAAAAACAACTTTTTTAATCCCATGGCCTGACTTTTTACCAAACTTCACTGAAATCTGTTGACAGGTGATTTTTGAGATATAACAAACAAATGGATCCAGTGTCCACGGGTGGTGTAGAGTTAACACTGCAGTCCACCACTCTAAGGATCCTGGGTTTGATTACTAATAGGAGCTCTAATGACAACAGTGGGACATTGTTGACAGTGTAGAGTTGTTGCATTGCAATGAATGGTGGGAAAATAAACAAGGCCAATTACATATCCTTACTGATGCACTGACACAATAGGTGAATCCCAGTTCCCTTATTTTATCCTTCCTTGGTGCTTGATCCCTGCTCGACCCAGAAGTCTTTCCAGGCCACTATGTTGAAGGACATCCAAAAGCTCATAGCTCTGCCCAGAGTAGCAAGGAGGCTGCTGGGTGGAGCTACAACCAAGGGTGCTCAGGTGCTCAAGGGTATCCTTTATGGAAGTCTGTTACGGACTGACATGCCCAATTTTGTGGAAATCAGTTTGTAACTGGGCGCTCCATATGAAGGATCAGAGTAAAGGATGTCTTATGTCAGTTAAAACTTTCCTCTGTCCTCGCGTTTTTTTCCTTGCATCTTATGTGGGTGGGACTAAGACGCAAAGAAAAGACGCAAGTGAGAGAAACGTGGATGCAGATAGTGTAACTGGGATTCATCTAATGTTTCATGTGTACTACGGCCCTCTAGATGTCAGCAGTAGGGTTAGCAAGGGCAAAGGACAAAAGCCGCAGGGAATGGGCACTGAGAGGCTGAAGAAAATGCGAGACGGTTCTGTTCAAGCTGGAGACTTTTGCATGCTGTAGGCTACATTCCCTCCCTATGTTCACACTCTCAACTAAAAACAAAAATGAAAATAAATAAATAAATCTCAGAAGTAGGCTAATGTCAATTTTTCATAATCACACAACATGGAACAAATTCAACTGAATCTTTTTTCATATAGGATTAGTTAAAATAAATTGCCAAACTGTCCAACTATTCAGCTGTATTCTTACTGGCCCACTTACTGTATTAAAGGTCTTTTAAGATAGAGAGTCACTGAAGCCTGCCACTGAGCAGCAGCCCAGCAGGGTGATGATCTGTTCAGTAACACATTGCTGTCAGTTCATGTTCTGTGTAAATTAAGTGTAGAGAAACCACAACTGTACCATCAAACAGTCAACGCAGTTTGACTTGGTTGGTAATAATGCAAACATGTTTTTCTTTGTTCATAAATCCCCAGGACGTCACTCTTCTACTGTGCAGCACACTTGTCAGAATCAGAGTGAGGGGCTTAGTACTTCAAGCTTGTCGCGGATCTCCAGATGGAAGCGTTAAAGGCTTTTCCAGGCATTTGTTACTTGTTTATTTATTAGTGTTAAAGTCAGAGTACCTCAGAGGACAGTAGCCAGCTGTTGAATTTTGGCTTTGTTCCACCGAGACCTGGGGATTGTTATCCTCTTGATCGCTTGGCTGTCACTCTCTCTCACTCACTCTCACTCTCTTGTTTGCAAGTTGTATAATTAATTACAGTTTTAGTTTTTTATGTAAGTCAGTACTTAGTCCACCAGTGTTTCTACATTCATTCTGCCTCCATTTCTTCTTCTTTGTCCTCATATTTTCTGATTAAACTGTATTATTAAACAGAGGGTTTACAGTTCTTCTCTATACAAGAGTAGAGATACATCATGAGTCATTTTATTTTAATTCTCAGCATTTTTATTCTTTTTGGTATATTCAGTATACTTTAGACTTTTTTTGTCAAAAAAATGATTTTTGTCTAAACTTTCACCATTATACACCCAGCTCTCTGTTGTTAAGAATCTATTCATTCACCATGCTAAAAACAGTGGGCGTCAATCAAATGTAATCCAGTTCAAAAGCCCTGCAACAAATGCTGCCTTTGTTGACCGTAAGTCATGCAGGTGTTGCCACAGATATTACAGGATGTACATTAATTTATCATGATACTGTCCTCTCAAATAGCGGCATGTATATTCAGCAAAAACCCAAAACACCCAAACATGACAATGCCCTCTAGCAGCTGTGGGAGTTATGACTTGTGTCTTTTGTCAGTGGACAACAGTAAAGAAGAAAATACAAAGAAAAAGAAACCTTAACAAGGAGACTGCTGTTTGCTTCCTGTTTTGTGATCATTGTTTTTTTTTTTTTTTTACCTTGACCACAATTGTTCCCTAATCTTAACCTAGTGATTATTATTGTAACCATGAGGTGTAATTATAACACAAACCAGAAAGCTTTTAACCATCACAACAAAGGTCCCCTGACCCTTAATTGAGCAGGCGTTTTTTTCCGCTAACCAAATAAAGCTGAGTTTGTGTCTAATAACTAAACATTAAACATGGTGGTTTAATTTTGTAACTGTAAGGATAAAGAGTTTTTGGAAGGCACTAACAAATGATGCTATCGTGTTAATAGCTGCCGTCTGAGGGTTTGCGTCAAAAGGTCAAACACTCAAATCATGAGTTCAGAAAGACACTCCAGGCACACAAACACACCCATCTCTACCAACACTCACCTGTCCGTTCTTCTTCAGGTCAGCCCACATGCTCGTCCCATCACCTCCTCTCATCAGGACATGGTATGTGAAGTAGTAGATACCAGGCAGCGGGCAGGTGAACTTTCCAGTACTCGGCTCGTAGTAGTTCCCTACATTGGTCACTACGTCATCAAACTTCAGTATTTCACTCCCTTCGTGTTGTTTCCGGAGGCCGGCGTAGAAGGCAATTTTGGGACTGTAGAAGGATGAACCATAGCCACCAGGTCCAGGCCCTGGTGGACCAGGTAGGCCTGGCTTGCCAGGATCTCCGGGTGGCCCAGGGGGCCCTTTAGGGCCTGGAGGACCAGGCAATCCAGGGCTCCCTCTATACCCCTGTTTGCCCCTGCGGTTTGGGAAGTCTGGGGGCTGAGGGGATACAGCTGTAAGCTCTCCTTGTGGGGGGGTGAAAGTGTCACACACCATCTTGCAGCTCCCGAGCATCTCGTAATGTGTGCCCCCTCCTCCGGACCCTCCCCCTTTGGTAGTGTGGACCAATAAGGGAATGGCCACCAGCAGGACCAGGACCATGGCCACGCCAACTCCAGCCCCAATGACACGTTTCTTGCGGCTGAGCCGGGAGGCGGCCAGAGTGAGGAAGTCCTCCTCCCCTTTAGCTGGAATGGTTGTACCGGCCAGGCTGAACTCTGGGTAGAAAGTAACTACTGGATGGAGAAGATGGAGGAGGAAAATGTGTAATTGTTTGGGACAGAGAAAAGAAACCGTGGGGCTGTTCTGGAGAAAATCAAAAGTCGGTGCTAGAAAAACAAACAAACTTTTCCATTTCTTGATGTTCAGTATATTTGTTTAGTATCCCTTTATTTTTCAATTTCCCATGGTTCGCTGTGTCTGTCTACAAACATCACATTACTTTGCATGCCAAAAATAACAAATATTTTAAATGTCTTTGTCAAAATTGAGCATCACCACAGAAATCTTGGGTTTTTAGATGACATATATATATATATTAGCTCTGTGGTTGAGGTAGTTCCAGTGAAATGCTTTCAGCTGCTCAGGCAGAAAGCTGTCAGGTGGGGTCTACAGTATTCCCACTGGAGTTCATCTCACCCACCACATATGGGGAAGGGCGCTTTAGTTGTCTGTCCAGGAATGAGAAGAGAAGATAGCAGAATCTGCTAAAACCCCTGCTCTTTTCGTCCTTCCGCCTTGCTTGTCTTTCTGTTGATTGGTGTACACTTTTCTCTCTATATATTGTTTTAGGAGCCTGGATTAGATTTATCTCAGCAGTCTACTCCTCCTTCCAAAGCACAGATTTGTTACAGGTCATAAAAACACAAATTCAGATGAAAGGACAGGCTGAACTGCACTGAATGTGGAAGCTCTTGTTTTAAAGGCAGCTTGGATGAAGCAGAAAACGTTTTATCACAGCAAATCACTGAATATCTTGCAGTCTAGAAGGAAAAGAACACAAAACAAATATACACAGATACTCTAAAATAAAATAAGCAGTCATGGACTATCAAAACCAAACCCCTTTGCTAAAACCCATGTAAAATTGTACTATAAAATGTATAAGACATTTTACAAATAAAGCACTTCAGTTTGTAATTAATTAATACTTAAAATTGTATTCAGCACTTTACAATACAAAAAATGACAGGCAACAGGGATTTTCCTTAATGTCTTACGTCTGTTTAAACATCTAAAAGTAAAAACATGAGAAATATCAGTAATAATAATAAGCTAACGAACTGTTTATATTATTACAGGCCTAAGTTCAATATGTTCAAAACACACACGGTTTTAACAGCAAAAATACTAGTCAGAATTATAGAGGCATTTCGAGTAATTCCTTTTTAGTTACAATTGGCTCTTAGACTTTAAACACTCGTCCAGATTTAATCAAAGCAAAAGAAAATAATAATTTCATAAGCAAACTTTTGAGAAGCTCCTGCAAAAATAAATGGGCTTACCGATTCTCTTCCCTTCCCTTCTTCCTTTCTTTTCTACCCGGTGTTCAGTGTCTTTTCATGCTGCGGCTTCAGATGGAAACGCCGCAGGAAAACAGGTTCAGGACCTGAATGAAACCCCCCAAAGACTGACTGAGCGCTTCCGCTGTCGCATCGGGTGAAGTTGCGCCGCGGTGCAAACTAAGTCCCTCTAATGGTTTAAACTTGCGGCATCTCATCCAGGGCCGGTCGCAGAACAGCACAGTCCAAAATGGCTCAAGGCAGTCCGATCAGCCACGGAGGAAAATGTTTAATGAAGGATAAAAATAGGAGCGTTCCTTCAAAATAAAATTACATATTCTGACGAGTTACTTTTACAGACTTTCGCCGTGCGGAGCAACAGTTCGCTCACTTGTTGTATTTGCCGTCCTGCTCGTCTCCTCAGCATCTGCCTACTAATGCTCCCCCGCCCTCCCTCCGCAACGCGCGCGCACGGTCACATCCACAGTCCCATCCCGCGTGTGACCTATTCTCTAAATCAAATGACTACATTTGTTTAATGGTTTAATCAAAGGTTGTCAGTTTCCGTTGCACAGGCAAAAACCTAACAGTAATAATATTCATAGTGAAGCTGTGATGCTCTTTGGTGGATGTGGAGCATCCTTATTTGACATTACGCGTGCCAGTTACTGTAATTTGGGGATCATCCCCATCCCCCACCCCCCCAGTTAAACATTATTTTCAAGTAGGAAAAAGACGTAGCTCCTTGTGGAGCTGTGTTTGGGAGCACAGTAGGTGTGAGGAGTCTTGAGTGCGTGAGCACAAAACGTGGGCTACAGCTGTGAGACTGACACACATCATGCAGGAAGGCGAAGTGAAAAGATAAAGTGAAAGGAGAACACTGGTGTTCTCGGGGTTTGTTGTCAGTGTCTGTGTTTCTGTAGCTTTCAGACCTCGTTAGAGATGAAAGATGTATTGCTGCTGAGCCCCGCTCCTGCCCTCTTACTTTCCTTTCTCTCTCTCTCTGACTTTACACTTACAGCAGTCGTAAATTGGCCTAATTAATTCTCAAATTGGACCTTGTTTGTATGCTGTTAAATTTGGGGGTGTGCATGCCTGTAATAGGACAGGCCTTACTCACATAATTGATTATGTTCACTGTCTTTTTTGTCAGCATTAGAAACATACGTGACATTACAGTCTGTAAAACGCATCTGTCCTGAAATACAGCTGGTCCAATATTATTCACTTTGTTTACATTTTATCAAAAAATAATGGTCTGTGCACTTACACAAAAAAACAGATGGGTGAAACCATTTAGGCAGCCCCCAGTTCTGTAAGGCTTAAGTGTACTTGTATGTACTGCCAGTTCTGCTCCTTATTTATTCATCTGCCAACTTTACTGAGCAGGAGAGTGCAGCAGATATTGAATATGGATCAATAGATCACTCCCCAGGATGCATACTGTCAGCCGACTGAGCCCTCAGGCAGATGCCAAGCCTCTAGTCACATTTGCATTTGGAGATAGAAAATAACTACATGCTTGTCAGAAAGTGGGGAAATGTGTGGTCTCAACATTTTACAAAATAGTCAAATCAAAAAGAATAAAGAATTTTCTGTATTTATGAGTGTGTGTTTTTACAGTATTTTCCTGCCTGTTGTGCTTCTTTGTGTGCATTTATGGCATGTGTGTGAATACCTACATGCATACATATGTGCACACATACACCTATAATTTGCATGTGGGCTCTGACACACTGGTGAGACACTCAGAGGCTCCGTGCATTTAAATTATTTTTGCCAAGAAGGGAAGATCATTTAGAGAGAATAAGTTTTTTAGAGCCCTATGAAATATTAACTAAGTCAATGAATATATAAGTTGTGAAGCGTCGATATCTCTGTTTCCTAGTGATATATGATATCATGTTCTTGTCTGTACTATATCAGCCTCTCCTGCGTTTAATTAAAGCTCGGGTTTACAGAAAGCAAATGCATGATCATCTTTTTTGAATGAACAAAATATAACATGTAACATCTTCTCTGTTGCCCTTGACTCTGATATCCATCCTTCCCTTTTCTGACCTTCAGGTGGCTGAGCTGTGGAGTTATGATTAATATAAAGGTGTTACAGTAACATTGGTCTGGAAGGACCAAAGCTCAGAGGGTTGCGAGGTTAAGTCTCAGCGGGACGTGGCTGTTGTCTGTTAACACAAAGGTCCACTGACCCAACTCTGTCAATAAGCCAGACTGAGCCCAGAAAAAAACTGAAGTCAAGTGCTGGAGCACACGATGGCTGCTTGTAACAAAAACATATTTATCTACTGTTGGTGAGTAAAACATGTTATGTTTGTATAATAAGTCATCATTAAAAATTGCCTTGAAGTCAAAACCAAAACCACACATTTACCTCAAAGGTAAAACACAGAATATCCTCTAAGACCCTTCATGTGGTACAAGAAAAAAGCAGAGGACAGGCAGATGAATTACAGACACAGAACATCCAAAGAAATAACAACAGTAAAACTTTCAATGCAAAGAAAAAGAATTAAAATCACTATTTCTCCTTATGTAAGATTGTTTGTCTTTGTTTCCCTTTCTTCTTTTTTTCACAACTTTTATTATTTAGTTGTTTTCCTATTATATATGAAGTATCTCTCTTTAGTACAAAGCTTAACTACAGTGATTTGGAAATGCTTATGGACTAAAGGATGAGATATTTTAAAATGAAATAAATGAAATGTTCAAAAACAATGGAAAGATACAACAGCATATATGAATAATATGGATCAAAGGGAATCCTCAGAGTAACCTTAAGTGGTGTTAAGCCCTTGGACCACAAAGTGCTGCCCAACCCAACAACATGTGTTCATGTGCAAACTGTTTCTAGAGCTTTCAGTCTTTCTCACTAGATGAAGCTCAATTGTCATAACAGTTGGATGCATAACATCAATCATTAAATTATGGTTATGTATAAAAAGGTTACATCAACTAAAGATTAATCCCAAATATCATAACTTGTCTTAAATGTCTGTGCAATGTTATGTATTACCCTATAAAAGCACTTCTGAAGATAGCGGGAATTTGCTTCCTGGTGCTTCCCAACACAGTAGGTTGAGTTCAGGTGTCTGTAGGTCAATAGGCTACTGTGTTACAGTGGATTTATGGTCATTAAAACCAGGTTCTCTGTGTTGGAATGACTCATTACAGCTGATAGACTCAGAGTTTCCGGACAGCTGCACGACAAAATAGATGAGGCTGGACAGAGGTGATTTATTAGCAGGATAGTCATTCTTTCTCTTTAAAACCATCAGTGAAACCAATCAGGGCATGAGCACAGAGTCGGCATGTGATCAGAGAGGTTACCATGGTATTATCCAGCTCATTCAAGGCAGAGGTGCTATCAGCACAGATGGTTGTGGAAAGGGCTTAACCTGACCTGCAATCTCATAGGTCAGAGAGCGACTGAGAAGGAGAGAGCAAGATCCTGAGAAGGATGGAGAGGAAGAGGCAGTGAGGGTAATGGAAATGTAGGGGTCATAGCACCACACTGGCACTGTATGCAGTAATATGCAATTGTTTAGTGTGCATGTACTTCTATGCAGTGGAAAGGGTGATTTCAAT